CACCGAGGACCTATCCATGTCATCATTTACCCAGAATGCTTTGTGTGTAAATAAAATGGCTCCGTCCGTGGAAGTTGGAGTTTGTTACAAGCACTGTGATAACTCATGATTTATTGTTATTATTTTAATTCCCACTCCTCTGGGATTAACGTTGATTCGCTCCTAATTATTCAACCAGTCTAAAGTCGTCTAAATCTGCTGCCTCCCGAACTTTTCTCAGGCTGAAAGTCTCCCATAAGGACAGCCTATCTTTAGATCCAGATGTTGCATCATCTCATCTGTCTTCAGCCACAGTTTGAAACTATTTCAACCCGTTTAAGCAAACACGGGTAGAAAACCTCAGAACCATAACGGGAGTTTTCTCCGTTGGCCTCCGAGGCCCCGGCTGTCAGCGCCTCCTTAACCCCCCCGGCCCCGCTCCTCCTCCAGGGCCGACAGGACGGCACTTTCTGCATCTGGATCTGCTTTCACCAGGGAAGACGTTGACCTCCTGACGACGGCCGACGGACCCCGATGCAACGTGGGACCSGAGACTCGTGGGGCCGTGGGAAAAYAGGCGAAGGTGGAGCAGAATTGTTTGGTAAGTAGCCTCAGATTTTACGTCCAAATCAAAATTGCAAAAGGTCCAAACACAAAAATGTCTGACTTTTTCAAAACTACAGATGATGCAGTCCAGTGTAGGTGGTAGTAGCTGACAGTCATCCTCAAAAAATACACTGAACGTGAAGAAACCAAGCAGTGTATGTGAAACTTTTAAATGAAAGGGCAACATGAATCCCTTTAATTGAGTAAAACATAATTTTCCTGTTATGTTTTTGGCTTTATTTTAAACCACTGACTGAGAAGAAGCCGAGACTGGAAATGTTCAAACAGGAAGAGGTTTTAGAAGTGCAATTTATCCTGGCGCAGGAGGATAAATTACATAAGTTTCCATTGAAAARGTTCAGAATTGGTGAGCAGTGGGCCAGGCTAAACAGGTTTTCCTGTTTGCCACAAAACGTTATTTTTAGAAGAAAAGCTGTCGTCATTTATTAAAACTACACAGGCTGGGCTTCTCTCCTGGCCTGCTGATTAACAAGCAGAACATATGGAGTCTTTATTGATACTTTAAAACGGCTGAACCTTTACTGAACACGTGGATCCTCATATAACGACCCCAGAACTGCCTGTAAACCTAAATGTGCTCATTTGGAACCAGAAAAGATGGAAAAGCCAGCAATTATGTCTATATTTAAGCTTTATGTTAGCACATTAGAAAGCTGTAAAATGCATAAATGAACGTACACAGGGGCTGTTGGAGATGATCTTTCCTTACGGGAAACTGCTCAATGGTTTTACCTGTTCAGCTTTTARTGGTCCAGTGTCCTCAACACCTGAAGCAGAAACCAATCAGGCCAGTCAGAGTGACTGTTTCTTAGCAAAGAGGCAGCATTTGTTAGCGTAGCTGCTGTGAGCTCGAGCTTWACTGGGAACTTCCTGGATGCACCGTCTGTGAGAGACAAACCCGTTTTAGATTCTTTAAATTTAACCCGGAGGCCAATAAATAAACCCACAGTAATCCCAAGCACAAGAGAAGAGTGAAAGCAGCACTGAAAAACTTGTTTCTCTCTCTGGCGTGAAGGAATGCTGGGTCTCAGGGGGCGGAGCCAGAGGGGTGGCAAGCAGGAATTGGCCAACCCTCGTGCGGGGATCTTACAAAATTTAGATTTTATTAAATATTGTTCTCTGATAGCACTGTACTATACACTCACCGGCCACTTTATTAGGTACACCTGTCCAACTGCTCGTTAACACTTAATTTCTAATCAGCCAATCACATGGCGGCAACTCA